AGGAATTTTTCTATTTGCAAAAAATTAGCTACTTCTCTTAGTGCAAATTTTTACAGGATGTGGTGTAACAGGTTATATCTAGATGCTTAAATAGTATTCAAATAAGATCAGATTAAGCAAGATTTACCCAAAAGATCTAATAGATATATGTATTTTATAGCATCTGTTATTTAGAAATAGTTTTTATATGCTATTTGCTGACAGGCCTAGAGTTTATCATTTACCAGTGTGTAATTATATAAGCTGAAAAAAAAACCTTGCAAGACTGTCAAAGTTTAAATAAATATATATATTAATTACTATAATAAAATATTAAAACACTTCCTAATATTATAAAAAAAAAAAAAAAAATTAAAAAAAATATATAAAATATAAGCTAAATATAGTATTTCAAAAACAAATAAAGACATATTTTTGAGTTTTTTTTTAATATTAGTAGAATAAAAAAGTAACTAGATTTTTTGTCTAATTACAATATAATAAAATAAATAATACAAATTACAAATATTAAATTTAAATAAACAATTATATTTTATAAAATTTAACTCAATCATGAGATAATAAAGTTATACTGTAAAATATATTTTACTATTATTTATTTATAAATTTCTTGTACGTAAGTCGTTTGTAGTTTATAAAAAATAAGATTAAATATAAAATTTAATTGGCTTGCAACAATGCATAAAATTTGTAGTATAGCAAAAATAAGCCGCGATAAATGTATTACAGTTATTATCAATCCTGGAACAACTGAGAAAATTGCAAATAATCAAATTGTTAAGTTATTGAGTTAGAATCAATAAGTTACCTTCAGCTTGCTCGCTTACCCACCTGTAAAATTATATGTCTTAGCTGATTTAACAATAGCCAATTTGATGAATTCTATTAAAGTTATTTCGTATTTGCAAACTTTAGAAATGATAATAAATAAATGTATGTTTTTATTCTTTCTAATTTCAATCACATTTTTGTAACAATAGTTAAACTAGAACATTCCACTTGGATCATTCTAAAAAAATTAACTATTATGTGAGAAGTAATACTCTCTAACTTGTGACTGGTGAGTAGGTTAGAGACAGATGGTATGCATCTGAAATTAAATCTTAAATCCAAACTCGATAAGTTTTTGAAGCATATTTATTATCACAATAAAATTAGAAAGCTTACCAGTTCAAGCAATAACTAAATACTTAGACTTTAGCAAATTTTTTAAATTTTCGAACAAATTTCATATGCAGAAAAACTTTGTAAACTTCTAGAAGTCTAATTTTTTTAAGTAAACTCTGTTGGCTATAAATTTCTGCATAAACTAAAAATAAATTGAGCATACAGTAATGTTTCAATGTACAGATTTGGTTCAATACGTAGTAAACGAATTTATATAAATGTTATAAATATATTTTATTTATATACATAACAAATAATTGTGAATAACAACGAATATGAATAAGTTATTATTATTGCTTTAATATATTTAAAGTAAGAGATAAGTGATATTGAGTCAAGGTTTATAAAGACTTATATATACGGAGGCTTCGAATAAAATATAAATAATGTAGTCATATTCTAGAATTCTAGAGATGATTTTTTTTTTTAATTAAAAAATGAAGTGAACTTGTTTATTACTAAATATAGTGTATACTTGTCAAGGTCGTGAGACTGTTTCTTTTTATTCATTTATAGTAAGAGAATCTACGAGCACCTATAATTGACTATCATTTACAATAACAGGAAAATATTAACTTGTATAGTTTAAAAAGCCATTAGAATATGTTTAGTATTATAAATATGCTAACAGATATTTAAACATTTGGTTTCTGACTTTAGTGTTTTAGAAAGTTTAGATCCCTAATAACGTTCTAGTGAACAAAATCTATCATGAAAATATCGGAAATTTTCCGGTTTAAGACAATTTTCGGCGTAATTTTTTAATCAATTTGAAACTTTTCATTCATTTGATAAATTTCATGAACTATTATATTGTATAAATTTCTGAATTCTGGGCATTATAATGATTTTATTATTTTAAATATATACCAAGAACGGTGCGGCTTACTGTAAATATCACGATTATACTATAAAGTAGACATGGAACTTTTTATCTGAACGATCGAAAAGATTATGCGTTATAAGATGACATTGACAAACTAAGGTTTAATTGGATACAGTAATAAAGGAGTGATAAAAATTCATGGTCAAAAGTGCCAGCATAATAATAATTCTTTTATCCGATTTATCTGGCGAAATAAGGATATGAATGCAATACTAAATACAAATAATTCGTTTAAAAAATCTGCAAATTCTAGGAGCATTTGCTGAATTAACTGAATTTGCAGAAGCCACAATTAAGTAGTGCGAATTTCGAAATATGAGCGTAGCTTCTTGTTGACCCAAAATAATACTTGACGACTATCATAATGTTAAATCGAGCTACCAAATACGTAATACTGGCTGCACAATTACTATTTAATCGGGGTAGATAATGTTCAATTGTATTACAATACTGCATATATATATATATATGTACGTATAACGTGCAATATATTTTAGTTACTCCTTTTATATTAAGCCTACGTAGTCAAAACTTGAAGGGTAAACATACATGCATATGTACATATGGTACGTAAAAAGATAATGGCAAGTCTTTGTTTATATCAACTTTATCGTTATATGATCGTATACGTAACAATTTTTACGTAATATAAAACCAATTAATAGGAGTGAAACAGTTCATCGTTGTTTATGGTTATAATTTGCAATAATGATGAATAATAGTGTAATAAACGTGAAGCCTTTTCTCTCTATAAAGTGAAATATTTTCAAAAAAACTTTTTTATTAAAGTAAAAAATTATACGTACGTATACTAATTTAGGAGATGCTGGTTTGTTCGATTTTTTTATCATCGTGTATTAAATATTAAGTTTAATAATTGTCAATCCATTAAAACTAAATTTTGTAGAATTACTATATTATTCTATATATTCTATAATCACAAGAATTAAAAAGAAGAGAAATATCAACTTTGAGGCAAGATATTAAGGAATCTAACATTTCTCTTTTATGATAAGTAATGCAAAAAAAAAAAAACCAAATGTGTAAAAAGCCGAAAAGTTTTAATTTCAAACTTTTTTTGTCACAAATTTTGCCAATTTTGATTAATCATAACGTCTTTGTTCGATATTTATTTCATTAGTAAACGTTAATGAAGAAAATTTTGTCATGTATGACTAGTAATACAAAATTATTAATTTAAAATACGCCAACCCAACTAAAAAAAATCAATGTTAGGCAAAGATTTAAAATAAATCTTTCATAGCGATAGCTAGACCATGAAAGGTGTTTTTTTTTTTTTTTTCTAAATGGTTACGGTAATCAGTTTCATAATTCGCACATGATTAATAATTTAACTTTTCTAGGCATGTAAAATAACCCATGAAAAATTATTTCACACTTATTCGACAAATTTAATAATATCTGTTACCAGTTATAGCCTGATTAACTGATTGACGGTCCTTGAAATTTCATTGGCCGTCTATAGCAGACGTTCCCTATCTCGAACAAACAACGAACAAACATCGAACAAAATATCTGATTATATATATCGATATGTTAGATTAAATTTATAAACTTACAGTATAAAAAATAAATTTTTTTAAAAAAAATTTATTATATATTACTTGCTATATACTTGTAAGTAATTTACGTAATAAAAAGTTCGTCAGCTGGTAAATTAAATTCATTAGAGATTTAGATTTATAAGTTTGATTACTATAACCAATCAAATAATTGTAACATTGTATATGTTTACTAAACCATCCCTAAAATACAGAAATAAAATCTAAAAAACCTTTTTAGTCAAAAATTATTTTTATTCACATATTATTAGTTGGGTAAATGATGAACAAATTTCTAATTAAGAAGCGTCATTATTCTTTACATGCTTCTTTATTTTGTTTAAACCAAATTACGCGTGGTAGCATTCAGGAAGATCCAAGATTTATAAGATTAAGAAAGAAAAAAAAAAGTGCTTTGTACATTACATGAGGGTAATGATTTATGTGTAAGCATTATGCAGTCATCATAGTAAGATTATCAAAAAATTCTGTTAATGGTAAGTGTAACAAATATTCTATTAATTGAATGGTATTTTAATTTAAACAATGGTGTTACGGGGTGAATTTCTAAAATTATTTTGTTCGACTAGAAAAGTACGTAGTATAAAACTTATACACATCTTACACAAATAAATACATTATGTTATTTAATTTTGGTAAGCTGTAATGAACTCTGTTTAGGTTTTATAATAAAATTATCGGTTTGTGGTAATGAAATATTGGGTTTAGGAATACTAATCAAAATTTAAAGAATTTTTTATAATGCATGTAGTTTTTTAAACTATTACAATGTTACAGTGTACGTGTCATTCTTACTTTAACCTAAAATGGTCTAGTTAAATGTTAACGTTATATATCCTAACAAATCTACAAATTTTATATCGTTATGTTCTATATATTCTACTGTATATATTTTGTATAAATATATAAAATATATATTCTATGTATTCTACATATTTATATATTTTATATATTTTATATACATTTCACTTCATTTTTACGAGGCGCAAAAATTTATATAATCCATCTTGCATTTCTTTGTTATCTTTTTATTTTTTTTGTATCTGCAAATTAAATCTTGTAAAAATTTTCTTTGTCGAATTATCTTAATTTGCTTTGTATGCTTAAGTTTTTTTTTGGGTTTTCCTCTCTCTCTTTCTCCTGTTCTTCTACTACGTATTCTTTTTTCTGCAATACTACTGTATTTTTTTTTACCTTACTTCACTTCTTTTACTATTTTATCTTTTTACTATTTGATCTTTTTTGCTTATTAGGTCAATTTTACTTTGTTAGAAATTTATTTTTGTAGAAGATAAGGTTTATTTTCTTTAATACCCCACCTTCAACTCTAATAATTCGATACATGCTATAGTAATAAGTCAAAGATGATTGATTATTTCTTTACAACCTCTACTCTATTAGCGGTTTTACTATGTATTATTCCAGGAATCTTTCATATTCAAACACGTAATTGGGGTGCTATTCTAATGACTTTTTGGGTGATAGTTACAAATACTATATTATTTATAAATTCCATTCTTTGGGGTAATGACCTCGACGACAAGGCTCCGATCTATTGTTTAATTTCTTCCCCATTATATGTTGGTGCAAATTTTGGTTTATTGGCTTCAATTACTTGTATGATTCATACTCTTCATTCTTATGTCTCAAACCCTGTCATATTGACCGTACGCGTTCGAAAGAAGCAAACTACGAGAATTTTATTGATCACAATTCTTGTTCCCATGATCTTTATGGGCTTATACTATATAATCCAGACTAATAAATATGAAATAAGACCAATTTTGGGTTGTTATTCTCCTGCTCATGCAGATTGGTTGTTTCTCTTGGTGGATGGAATTTGGCCCACTATTATCTCTATTATTGGATGTTATTACGCAGGTAACGTACTATTCTTGTTCACATGTTCTCCACTTTACTCACGTGATTATTCTTATTCTCAAGTGATTACTGTTCATTATTCTCACGTGATCACTGTTCATTTATTAACAGCTCGCACCTCATACTCAATTATTAAAAAACGACTTGAAATTAAAAGCCTTTTAACTTACACTGAATCTGGACTCAGCACCAATAAATTTTATCGTCTTGTACTCTTTTGCATTACTTTTCTACTTTTCTCATTCCCTGCATCAGTTATAACCCTTTTTAGTAATATTGCCATGCTTCATGGCACAGTTGAGTTAAATTTGTTTGATAAAAATTATAATATAGTTACAAGAGTAAATTCTGGTATAGCATTTTTCGATTATGCGAAACCTTTGTCCGGATTTTTTATATTTATATTTTTTGGTACTGGTCAAGATGCTATTGATACTTATAAAAGGTGGGGAAGAATAATTCATTTAGATTCGTTTATCCCCTGTTTTAGAGAGAGACCCAATGAATTTAGTCCTACTGGATCATTAAGATCTTTGTAAGTTATTCTATTCTATTATCATTAATTAATTAATTAATTAATTAATTACGAGTTAATTAATTTAATTGTAAATTAATTAAAATTAATATATTAATATATATTAATTATAATATTTTCCCTTTTTTTTTATAGCCAAAACAGTTCTGTATCTCACATTCCTAAATCACCGATGGTTTACAATTCCCATAAACATTCTCTCGGTGATATAAAACTTTCGATTCCTGGTGAAGTTGTTACTGGACAAAATAAATCTGATAACTTCTTATTTCGTAATGGTCATCGTACACCAACAGAACAAGCTCAATTTGATATGACAAGTGGTATTCATTTTAGTGGACTTGATGATTATTTATTAAGTTATGATTCAAAAAGACTTTCTATTTATCAAACGGATTTACACTTAAAAGAAAGTTATGAAACTTTTGAAGATACATCAACACTCGTTACAACTTCTTTTTCAACAATATCTGATCCTCAAACTATTCAACATGATATAATAAATTCACCTCACTTTCAAGTAATTCCTCCATCACCTCGTCATTCAATTTCAATAAATAATGTGAATGGAATTATTCATCCATTTACTGATAATGGAATTAAATGAGTTATGATTAATAATTTTAATAGCATTCATTATGTCAAATGAGCAAACTGGCTTTGTTCTATAATTTTTTTTTTGTTCGAGTGCATTTTACTACAAATTACACAGAGTCAATTAATAATAATTATAATTATATAATATTATACCCATAGCATTTGTATTTTTTTTTTTTTTTTTATAATTACGTAGTATTCCATTATTTTATAATCACAATAGTATATTACAGTAATGTTGTTTTTACACATTCATTTTATTTAAATATGTACAGTACAGTCTTAAACGGTAAAACTGTTTTTTGTTTTATCATAATTTGATTAATTTTGTATATAAAATATATTACTGTTCAATTACAGTTTTTAGATACTGTCACTTTTTTTAAATATAGATCAAATATCATTTAACAAAGCATGCTAACTCAAATAATTTAATTCAAAATTATATTAATTAAAACAATATCGATTATCCAAATATATTTATAATCTACTTAACGAATTAACTTTTACGCAATATTAAATAATACGTATAAACGCTAAAATCATTCATTAAAAAAATACTTTACTTAAATGTATATACGATAAAAAAATAAGTTTATCAACTTGCAAGAGTTTTTTTTGCATTTTGCATTCAGTAATTACATACATAATAATAAGCCAGCGTGGCTTTTTCTACCGGATAGTTTACACAAAGTTAATTCTGACAACTTTAATTAATAGCTTAAAGCAGGTTATTATAATAAAATTTTGTGTTATTTGGTATTAAATTCTGTTTGAATTGTTGTCCTAGTTGTCAAGTAATTAAATTGCGTAATATTAATACAGCAGCAATGAACAGGAAAAATATTTATAAAATTTTCTAGGTTTATGACCTTTTTGTTTTGCATAGTGACTTTTGGAAGAATAAAATTAGAAAGATCTGATTGTAACTAATAAAAATGTAAAGAGCTTACTGATTTCTTATTCGAATAGTATTCGAATAATTCGAATAACGTATTCACTGAATGACTAAATATTCGAATAATTTATTATTTGAATAAATTTGCTTATTCAAATAAGATTTGTTACGAATACAAAGTTCTAATTACAACATCTGTCAGGTCAGCTTGGCTCGCACCCCATGTTGGGTATTAACAGGTGTACTGGTTTGAGAAACTTGGATGTTCTATAGAATCAGTAGCCAGAAATAAGCTTCGCCAATGATTATTAAATCATTCATTTTTTAATATATTTTTAGCAGAGTTTTCGGAGTTTGCCCACCTATTCTATAGGAACTTATATAGCATTTATCAACTACGTATAACTTTCATTAGCGTTGGTTTTGGTTCAAAGATATCGATTACCGGTAGGGTGCCATGCACGGGCATGCGTGCATCGATATATAAAGTTTTTGATTGCGGAATTTATTCTTACATTATAAAATTTAATCAAGAACGTAACTAGTATTAAGTAAACAATGATACAATTATATTTTGCTGGTTGGTTACGTTTTTGATTCAAATCGGACAGGCATGCACTTGTGCCGAGTAATTTTATTATAAAAAAATTGGAGGATGGGTTGGATTTGGACTCTTACATTATATTCTATGTATTAACAGATTGATTTCATAGAAACGATTTGAATTAAAATATTATAGTAAACTAAAAATACTTTCGCAGACTTTATATGATTTCAAGGGGAAAAGACATATATCGTAATAGTGAAGGATATTTACATTAATAACATTATTTATAGATTTATAAGTGACTAAGTATACTGTATGGCTTTGCCAACTGCATGGAATGTTAATGATAAATCCACTATTTTAAGTGTGGATGAAAATGGGCTTAGAGTAAATTATATAGGTGAGAATATTGTATATAACTTTATATTTTGCTATCTCCACATGAGTATAACAAACATTCATAAAAATTCATATTACTGTAGCTATCAGATTTTTATTATAAAAATTTAAAGAGGCCACATAACGTGTTAACCTGCTAAGTTTTTTTTTGTTAAATAAAAAGGATGTGATGAAAATATAAAAGACGCTGTAGTTCGTGCGGATAATCCAGTTCCATCAGAATGCGAATTATTTTACTTTGAAATTGATATTATAAAGGAAGGGTAAGAGGCAAATCTCTCACGACTTCTCCATCTGTAAATAATATTAACTTCTTTATTAATTTATTTAATCTTTTTTGAAAGAATTATCGTGATTGGATTTTGCTCAAATTTCGATAAAATAAATAAGATGCCCGGTAATTACATACTTTCTTTTATGAGTTATTAAATATATTTATTCACTATTCTTATTATTGGTTAAATCTTCATAGGGTACGAGCCTGATTCTTGGGGATATCATAGCGATAATGGAGACTTTTTTAATTGTCCAATAATAAACGAGCCATACGGGCCTACATTTAAAACTGGAGATACTATTGGATGTTGTTTAAACTTTATAAATAAGACCGCATTTTTTACCAAAAACGGAGGTAAGTATAATTTTAACGAAGTTTATTTATCTTAATCGATAAAAAATTGATGTCTTATAACATCTTTAAGGAATTGCATTACGAGATTTAAAGGATAAACTATATCCTTGCATTGGATTAAGAGGTGGATCTATAGTGACAAACTTTGGGCATAAAAAGTTCAAATATGCGGGTATGTTTTATCTAACATTAACTATTTACATCTCTTTAAACGTGGTTTATTATGCTAATCCGAAGTTTATGATTAGCATTAACTGATGATGATATTGATGACGACGAGTTAATGAAAGATAAATGGGTTAACCCTCTTAATCAAAATCATAATAGATATATAAAAATACTTGAAGATTGCATTAAAATATCGTGGAAAAATATATTTTATTATTGGCAGATATGAAAAAGCGCTTGAGGATTTAACAGGATTGTTAAAAATTGAACCGAATAATACATTTGCATTGAGATATCGTGCTGAAATTTATTTTATATTAGTGAGTATAGAGTATAGTTTATCGTTACTATACTCAATAATGTATTTACTGTCTATAGAATTCTTTTATTAATATTACTTCTCTGTTCTTTCACTTACGTATTAAATTACTAGACGGTAATTATAGTCTATTCATAAAATTATGTGCACATTTTCTGTCCCTTCACTTATATGCTACATTACCAGGGGGTAAGTATAGTCTATTCATAAAATAATGTACACATTTTATCGTCAATATGTAATAGTTATATCCTGGGCAGTTGGGTATAAGCGGGGCTGAAAGTCCCGTTTATACACATAGTGCCCAGGGTATAAAATTATCTATTAAATATTACTTTCTGTTCTTCATGTTAAATTACTAGACGGTAAATCTAGTTTATTCATAAAATAATGTGACATTTTTTCATCAATGGAACTCTATTGAATATTATTTTTCTGTTCTTTACTTATGTGTTAAATTGCCAGTTTGTAAGTAAATGGTTTATTTGTAAAATAATGTACATATTTTATCATCAATAGAAATCTCTATTAAATATTACTTATGCGTTAAATTATCAGGAAGTATGTATATAGTTTATTCATAAAATTTTATCGACAATAAAATTCTCTATTAAATATTACTTCTCTATTCCTTCACTTACGTGTGAAATTACCAGGAAGTAAGTATTATAGTTTATTCATAAAACAATGTACACATTTTATCATCAATAGAAATCTCCATTAAATATTCTCTGATTTTTCACTACGTGTTAAACTACCAGAGCGTAAGTATATAGTTTATTCATAAAATGATGTTTATCATCAATAGAATTTTCTGTTAAATATTATTTTTCTGTTCTTTCATTTACGTGTTAAATTACCAGTTTGTAAGTATATAGTTTATTCATAAAATAATTTACACATTTTATCATCAATAGAAGTCTCCATTAAGTAATATTTCTCTGTTCTTTCATTTCTGTATCAAATTACCAGTGAGTAAGTATATAGTTTATTCATAAAATACTGTAATGTACACATTTTATCATCAATATAAATCTATTAAATATTACTTCTCTTTTTTTTCACTTACGTGTTAAATTACCAGTTTGTAAATATATAATTTATTCATAAAATAATGTGCACATTTTATCGTCAATAAAACTCTCTATTAAATATTACTTCTCCATTCTTTCATTTACATGTTAAATTACTAGACGGTAGTTATAGTTTATTCATAAAATAATATACTGTACACATTTCATTGACAATAGAATCTACATTTCTTTCCGTTCTTTCACTTACGTGTTAAATTAAGAAAGTAAGTATATAAAATAATGACATATTTTTATCATCAATTGAATTCTCTATTAAATATTACTTCTCTGTTCTTCACTTATATGTTAAATTACTAGACGGTAATTATAGTTTATTCATGAATAATGTACACATTTTATTGTCAATAGAAATCTCTATTAAATATTATTTCTCTGTTCTTTCACTTACGTGTTAAATTACCAGGACGTAAGTACATAGTTTATTCATAAAATAATAACACATTCTTATCATCAAAGAATTTCTATTAAGCATTACTTCTCTTTCTTTTACTTACGTATTAAATTACCAGCTTGTAAGTATATATAGTTTATTCATATCATAAAACGATGTATACATTTTATATTACTTCTCTGTTCTTTCACTTACGTGTTAATTACCAGTGAGTAAGTATATAATTTATTCATAGCTAATGTATACATTTTATAGTAAATAGAAATTTATTAAATATTACTTCTCTGTTCTTTCACCTATGCGTTAAATTACCAGTGAGTAAGTATATAGCGATAGTTTATTTATAAAACAATATACCATTTTATAGCCAATAGAAATCTCTATTAAATATTACCTCTCTGTTCTTTCATTTTACGTGTTAAATTACCAGAACGTAAGTTATTCATAAAATAATGACTCTCTATTAAATATTACTTCTCTATTTACTTAAGTGCTAAATTATCAGCAAGTAAGTATATATAATTTACTCATAAAATAATGTACGCATCTTATTGTCGATAGAA